AACTAACTAGTTGAAACAAGGTCCAATCTATCTATATATATATCTATATGTATGTGTGTATGAAGATATATATATATATATGTAAATAGACATGATTGATCTGACATCAAAGCGACTCCCAGGACGACTGCCTCAGATGCTCCAGTTGCAGAGGGTTGCAGAGCCGCGAGAGCCCGAGCGAAACGTCGGTTCTGAGACTAAAGTCGGGGGAGTTATGCTGAATGCCTTTCTATACGGAGACATCTTCGGTCCTGACACATCCAAACGGTTGCTCTTGTGGGTGTGGCATGGATGACTTTGGCCCGTGCCTGTCAGCAGGACTTCCAGGCACGACCTGGATGTTTGGATGGCTGTAAACCGAACTTTACAATATCTTCGATACCGAAGTCTGGTCTTGGAGGGTCGTTCTGACGAAAAGGTGTAAGAAGGCTTGATGGCCAACAGCGCCATCGACGGCAACGTTGACGGCAACGCCATCGACCATGAACATGGAACCCTTGCTGCAGTTGCTGAGCCACCGTAGCATCAGGAACGAATAGGCCTATGCCAACCCACATGAACAGCATATCATGTCGACGGAAATCGAGAGGAACACAAAAAACAGCAAACACACCAATTAACAGCCATCACACCAGCAGAAAGACAAACATATCATCGCCACTGCCAACACCACTACAACAAGTAGCGCCATCGCTCGAGCAGCATCAACCACACCAGCAGGCTCACGCAACAAACGAATGACGACAACTTAATCACATAACCAAAGCGTAAAGCTTTTGTGCGTGCTCCTCATGCAGTCAAGTTGCGCTTTGAACGACTCGCCGCTGCTGCTCGAATTCCGGGCGCGACTCAGTGACCGAGATCTGAATGAAAAGAAACCATAATCCAAATAAGCAAGAATGCACACGGCCATCTTCAAAACAACAGAAAGACGCCCAGAACGATCCAACTTTTCAAGGCATTGGGCGTTGATTCTTGAAACCTCTGAGGCTGCAAGAAAAGCCAAGTGCTCCTGCACTGTAGTGTTAAACTATTTAATTTGCATGTCCAAGCAGTCGTTGTTGGCATGGTTGAAAGTCCATTCGTTGCACACTCTACCACAGTTGCAGCTAATCGTGCCATTGCCATTGCCATGATGATGGAGATCGTGGCGGTGACGGTGGCGATGATGACGATCGCGGTGACTCTGACGCTGCTCCTTGTGATGGTGATGGTGATGGCGAGGTGACGGAGATAGCGATGGTGATGTTGAGGTGAAGGAGATAGCGATGGTGATGATGATGATGATGATGATCGTGATGTTGGTGGCGAGCAGGGGCGCTGATGAAGATGCCATGGTCAATTGCTGCGGCAATCTGATCACTTGCTTCTGTGGTTGCGCAATGATGGTGACTGCAGACTTTTGAGCCCGAGACCCAGGTGATGCCCCAGACTTGCTGCAGGGAAGTTCGGGAGAGGTCGACCTGCTGCAAGAGTGGGACGTTTTATTGCAAGGTCTGGAGGCTAGATGCACCAGTCTAGCTCTAGAACTCTGGGGACAACCAGCGAGTTGCGCCGGTGGTGGAGTGCGATGACCGATCACCCCAAAATCATGCCTCATCGACTGTTCTTGCGGGCTGATCATCCACTTCTGCTTCTCGCCTGGTACGTTTTCGATTCCAGTGCGTGCACCGCCTGGATGGCCTCATTTCAAGCGAAGTCCAGCCAGTAATGCGAGTCTAGAGGATGAGTCTTACCATGTCTGACCCATGCAGTGCTGATGAGGCACAGATTCGTTCTGGCGGACGAAGTCGATGCCTCAGCCACCAAGCGGAAAAATGCGATCATGCAAAAGCGATGGAGCAGCGGCCAATGGGCTCTGGAGCAAACTCAGGATCAGACACCTGGACAGCATCTCCTCCGCTGCTGGATTGACCTGGACGTAGACCAAAAGCTCCCTAACGAAGGCCCTCATGTGTCGACACGAAGCTTCAATGGTCGCTTGCAAAGAAATGAGCCGTCATGACTGCCATCATTGGCTTGGACGGGTGAAGCCGCCTTCTGTTGCGCCTGCGCGCGCTGCACGGCGCCTGATCAAAATTCGTTATCACAGGCATCTGGCGTGGGAACTGGTTGACTCATGTAACATCATCATCAACGTCATCAGGAAGATCGTCAGTCATCATGGTCATCACCCCGGTCATGCTCATGACCATAGCCATGATCATAAATCATAACCATGGTCAGGCCATGATCACGACTTTGCCATGATCACCATCACAAACATTATCATAATCGTTTTCGTGATCAGCGTGCTGATGCGGAATGAGTATGAGTAGCACTCACCCACTCCGGTTCTGAGAATGTGTTGAACGTTAAACCTGCATTTGTTCAGTGCAATACTGTCACGCATTATTGTCGCGAGCGTCCGACACTTAGCTCGGGATGGCGTTGATGCTAGCCAGTGGTGGTCAACAACAGAGTCCATTGTTAAAGTCGTAAAGGCTCATATTGCAATACACATGAACCCCCTACATCATGCATTCCAAGAAGCGGTGAGGTGGAGTTGAACACACGCGCGTCCACGTGCACTTGGTCCCTGGCTTCTCTTTTTCTCGCCCAAAGGAATCTCCTCCTCCAGGATAGCCTGGGCCAAGGACAGCTGAAAAACATCCTCTATGACTCTATGCAGCACTGGAGACTTGTGGTGCCGCATTCAGGGATGCAGCAGAGTTGTCGAGAAAGCTACATTAGGATTCAGCCACAAGCCTTTGCGTGACTCGGCCCTGTCTATACCCCAGCGCACAGCATCGCTTCTCTCCTTTTCATGCAATTAAGACCTTGCCTACTATTCCTGCTCCTCCTGCTACTGCTGCTGCTACGACTACTACTGCTGCTGCTACTACTACTGCTACTACTACTGCCACTACCGCTAC